TTAAATGAGCATTTATCATAATAAAATCAACATAGGTTCCAATCATTTTGTCGTATTTTATAATAAGTCAAAGGATCATACGGGTCAGAAACGACGAGTTGTATTGTGTTCGTGTTGAAAACCATACAGGGGTGCTTAACTAAGTGTGTATATATGTGAACGTTTTCAAAACCTTTCAACAAGGTTTTTCTGTTGCTGTGAATTCTCCTATTGTGGAGAAAAGGCCTTACCAATTACAATCTAGGTGCCACGTCGTTGCACACTCAAGGCTACATTCCCAGAAAATCAATAAAAATAGTAAAAAGAAAGTCAAATTATATTTCGATTTCGATTAACGAGCAATTATGGTTCGAGACGCAAAAAAAATAAACCGATTATTTACAAAAGTAAGGCCTAACATTACAGAATGACATACTGCGAAACTCCTCCACAGCACCGCCACGCTAGGTGTCGCTTGTTCACGCCGCTGTAACCAGTTGCTAGAATTGTTTCAAGTTACGAGACATACTGCGGTTTGAAATATGTGCATTGGATTCAATTAAATCACCGGTGTACCTTTCGAGACATATGCCTATATTTTCTATGATCCGTGAAGAAAAGTTATTTTGTGAGGTAAATGTGATAAAGTAAATAATTTGGTACTGCCAGTAGTTGTGAAGTATCGGACCACGGGTGCCACCAGGCGGAACTACATGTTTCCACTATGTTTATGTAATTGAAAATTAACATTGCTTAGAAATAACGGTAAAGAATATCCTCCATTACTGTTATATGTACCCTGTTTTTATTAGTATGTCCTTTGGTAGCAGTCTGGTGAAGGAGTTCGCTTGCCAAAACAGTGGTTCGGTTCTATTCCCTACGTGTGGAACCTTTCCAGGTATACTAACCTAATAAAGAAAGTATACATCATGTTTTATGAGTGCATCAATATACAGACTCTATTTCGATTCTATTTAGACTAGCACTTAGTCTCTGAATATATATATTGACCGCCTCCGTGGTGTAGTGGTTAGAGCGTCCGCCCGGAGAGCGGAAGGTCGCGGGTTCGATCCCCGACCGCGTCATACCAAAAGACGTTAATATATGGTACTTTTTGGTCCCTGCCTGGCGCTTGGCATTAATGGGTACAACAAGGACTGGTCGGCTCGAGTCAGTATAATGTGTCTGAGTGGGGTATTCATGCTTCACTGCGGCATGGTATCTCAGTGGGCTAGCACTATAAAACCAGCTTAAGTCTGGGCTAGTACAAGCAGCCGCACATACACATACACACGCATGCACGTCGTCAAATGAGCGAAATATTCTCAAGCACGACGTTAAACCCAATTTCACCTCACCTCACCTCTGAATATATATAATTTTAATAGTAACAAATAATCCCATTTACATAGAAAAGGGGAATGCTTCACGTGAGGAAATCTAGACCTTGCTTCATTTAGGGCTATATCATGGCAGGCTGGGGTAGGCAGTAGGGAAAATGATGCGGTTCAGGGACTGTGAGACAGACTAGATTCGATTGTGCGGTAGCTGACATTAGTCTCATAGTTATATTTTGGACCTTAAGTACCCGTGAAGATCAGGGTTAGAAGTCAGCAACCCATGCTTGTCCTAAAAGGCGACTAACGGGATCGGGTGGTCAGGCCTCGACGACTTGGTTGACACATGTCATCGTATCCCAACTGCGTAGATTGATGTTCTTGCTGTTGATCACTGGATTGTCTGGTCTAGACTCGATTATTTACAGACCACCGCCATATAGCTGGAATATTGCGGAGTGCGGCGTAAAACTAAACTCACTCACTCACTTGGACCTTAAGTGTTCAGTGTTCGGTGACTGTTGTCAGCCTGGAAACGTGTTGATAACGTTTGTAAACCGACGTGCAAAAGAAAGTACACAGGTTGTGTTTCTTCCAATAAGATAAAAATAACAAAACCTTTTGATGAAATGGAAAATGTATGTTGAAGCACACTGCAATACACGTGTTTTATCAGCAAAATGGCATTGTAACAATAAACAGCGATGTAGTGATGACCACTGCAGACGGTTCCTACGATGCTGGAAGGTCAAGGCCATTCCACGCAGCGGTCGGTAGGCTCATATATATACATGCCAGCAGGACGAAGTCGTCTTGTCACTGTGAATCGGCTTACGCGATGACCCAATGATGTGGCTGCTGATGACGTCACCGTCAACATCCAGTTGCGTAGGTGAATAACCCGCAGATAGCGATCCTCTTGGGGTGTTGTGACTCTGGAACGTCCACTTTTGGGTCGATCACATGTCTGGCCTGTCTTACTGAAACGGTTAAACAGCCGAATTATAGTTTGTCTTGTGCAACCCAATGTCCTTGCAATATCGCTGTTGAAAGCACCCATTTGTGTCATTCCTTTGGCCCGTTCTCGTTGCGCCGACGTCAATCTTGGCATTTCCACGTGAGATTTCTGTCAAGTGATTGTTCAGTCTTCACGACAAACAGGTTTTATACTCTCTGTCAGAAAAGTGCTGGTGCATGGGACAATTATCACAATTTTGCAAAACTTCGTGCAAAACACGTACAAATGTTTTTGGTTGCATTTTGGCAAATGAAACATTATGGTTGCGTTCTATACAATCAATGTTTTTCAATAATTTTATTAGTTAGAACGCATATTTGGGATTGCAACAACAATTACACCTGTGTACTTTCTTTTGCTCGTCAATTTAATTCAAAGGTCAAGTAGGATTTTTTATTATTCCTTCTTTTTCACGAAAGATTCATAAAAGATTCGATTAATGAGCGTGAACCTCAAAACATGAACCATATCCTGACCACTGAGTGGATGAATGTTTCCTTTCAACAATCGTTGCAGTGCTGGCAGATGTTGTCTTGCTTCTTTGTATAAAAAATACGGAAATACAGCCGCCTTCATATTTTTCCAGGCTTCATCTCTGATTTCCAATCGGTCATTTAAATTTAACTGTGAGAATGTTATCGTTTTCCCGGCCATTCTCAGGTTTATATATTCTACCTGTAATTCGATATTCCATAGTGGGCCATTACCAGGTGAGTTTATCAGAAAAGGACGCTGCGAAATATCGGGTATTTAAGACCGTTACCATATGATACGAAAGGAATGCACATTAAAGACATAGATATATGAATATTTCAAAGGCCTCGTGCTGTTTATCTCAATGTCCATCACGTGGAGAGAGGGGAAGATGACCGACAGACCAAGCTTGCAGCGTTATCTCGATGTCGGTGATATCGGTACATGGTATTTAGTTAGGTTCGTGTCTAGTATACCCGGTAGCATACCCGGTAGCATACCTGATGCAGGTAACGGTATGCTCCACAAAGAAAATAATTCATGCAAAGTGTATGGAAACATGTAGTTTGAAGCTGGTGCTGGTATATGTACAAGCATAATGTTCTTAAAAAGTGTTATGCTGTTGCAAATATATACCTGTTGTTTTTGTTGTTGTTGCCATTGTATGTGATGCTGTTGCACTGTATATATTGCTGTTGTCGACGAGTTTCCATGTTCCCTTGTAATATATACATGCTGTTGTTTCCATGTACATGTATATATTATGCTGTTGTTTCCACGTATATATTATGCTGTTATTTCCACGTATATATTATGTTGAGTTCAGGTATATATTATTACGTTCTTGTGTTCACGTGTATATTGTGCTGTTCTTGTGTTCACGTATATATTATGACATTTTGAACGTTCACATTCACCAATAAATTCAACATTAAACATTCCAGGCCATGTACAGACATGGTTTTGTATGATAATCAGTGTGTTTTTTTAAATGAGCATTTATCCTCACAAAATCAAAATGGATTCAAATAATTTTGTCGTTTTTATGAGTCAAAGGATCATACCGGTCAGAAAAACTGTTTTTCAATCGTGGTCACCATTTGTACTTGTGTTCATGTATATATTATTATGTTCTGGTGTTCACGTATATATTATGCTGTTGTTTTGTTCACGTATACGTTGTTTTGTTCTTGTGTCCACGTATATATTATGCTGTTGTTTTGTTCACCTATATATTACTGTTGTTTTGTTCACGTATATATTATGCTGTTGTTTTGCACACGTATATATTATGCTGTTGTTCTGTTCACGTATACGTTGTTTTGTTCTTGTGTATATATTATGCTGTTGTTTCCACGTATATATTATGCTGTTGTTTCCACGTATATATTATGCTGTTGTTTCCACGTATGTATTACGCTGTTGTTTCCACGTATAGATTATACTGTTATTGTGTTCACGTATACGTTGTTTTGTTCTTGTGTCCACGTTTATATTATGCTGTTGTTGTTTCTGGTACTTATTATGCTTCCGTTGTGTATATTTCTTGCTGTATTGCATATGTTATGTTGCTGTCATGTCATTCCATGCATACAATTATGTTGTTGCAACTGTATATAGTATATGATTGTTACATGAAATTAAGGAGGCCAATTGTGACTGATCATTTTGACAAAGCTAAAAAGTCAGAAATATATGATACATTGATATTCAAGATGTCAAGAATTTCACGAATTTATAATTTTTCATAAAATGATGAATATGTATACATTTTTCACAACAGGAAATATGTGTTAATTATTAAATATTCACCTATGTAACTCCACTACGACATGTGTACCGTCAACATGTCATTTATAAATTATTCTTGAAGCGAATACACATTTTATCAGCAAAATCTTAAAACCTACAGAGAAAGCATCCCACAGCATTTTTGAAACATCTTCCCTTCGAATATAAATCACTACCAACGATAAGTATATCGGAAATGTTAAACCACCAAGCAAAATTTGCCTGCTTAACTAAATTGTACAATGTATTAAGAAGGTAAACACATAGAACATGTTTAAATTCATTTACGTGTAGACCCCAAGCATGCCAACATTATTAGACAAGGAATTGAGGCGTTGTCCAATGAAGATGGTTATACACAATATTCGGTATTGCTGTTCTTCATCCTGTAACGTACCACGATGACGTCCAAATCTAAAAGGGGTAGCCTAGTGGTTAAAGCGTTCGCTCGTCACGCCAAAGACCCGGGTTCGATTCCCAACATGGGTATAATGTGTGGAGCCAATTTCTGGTGTCCGCCGTGATATTGCTGGAATATTGCTAAAAGCGGCGTAAAACCATACTCATTCACTCACTCACCCAATATAACAGATTCGTGAAGATCCGAGTTGGAACTGGTCTTCATTAACCCATGCTTGTCGTAAGAGGCGACTAACGGGATCGGGTGGTCAGGCTCGCTGACTTGGTTGACACGTGTCATTGCATCCCATTTGTATAGATCGATGTTCGTGCTGTTGGTCACTTGATTGTCTGGTCAAGACTCGATTATTATCCCCCGCAACAACGAAGTTGCGGGGGATATAGAAACGAGTTCCGTCCGTCCGTCCGTGTGTCCGTACGTCCGTGCGTCCGTCACACGTCCGTCATGATAACTTAACCAAACTTGGTACACATGTCAACCATGATCCCTAGATGTGCCTTTTGGGGGTGAGACCCAGATGCGAATTTTATTTTTTGCGGTTTCCATGGAAACATGACTTAGGCTGTGGCTATGAGGATGTCATCTTGTCCGGAGCAGATCTCCCAAACTATACATGCTAGCTTCATCAAACTTGGTACATATGTCAAGCATGATCCCTAGATGTGCCTTTTGGGGAGTTAGACCCAGATATGAATTTTATTTTTTGTGGTTTCCATGGAAACATGACTAAGGCTGTGACTACGAGGATGTCATCTTGTTGCATTTCCATGGCAACAAGTTAGGCTTCAACTGAATTTTGTGGTAGTGCTCCTCTCTGGAGCAGATCTTAAAAACCTTTCAATAATCTCCTTCCACTTTGCTGTATACACTCCAAAACATTTGACATAATCATAACTAGTAGACATATTAATAAAGAGTATTTTGCCGTTGCGGGGGATATTGATGACTTTGTCTTCTTGTTTATATAGCAATAATGTTGCTGAGAGCGGCGTTAAACAACAAAACAACCAACCCATCCTAACACCCATCAGTTTAGTTAATATCACATTGGTACTGCTCTGTGTCACAAACGGAACTGAAAATATTTACTTCTTATTTACAACGATTCAGAAACTTCAAAAAATACATTTTAGTAAATGCAATACTAAGTAATTATTCAATATTCAGGCATGAAGAACAAAACAGAACGAACTAGTCAACGCATAACACTGTCACATCAGCGAACACAGACAAGGAGGTCCCTCCGTTTAATTTCATAAATATTTTAAACACTTTGTCAAATATAACAAACGTTGTGGATTTTTTTATTGCATTTACCATTCTAACGCCAAATTCCACAGATATTTCTCAAAGTATGCAAAAATAGGTAAAAGAAAAAAATGAAATGTTGCTGTTGATAACATTCCAGAATGGTTTCGGAGTGATGGGCAAAAGCATTTATGTTTTTTCTAGCTATGAAATACATTTTAGCTGTTGCCTACTTTACTCTATATTTAATGTGTTAATTAAAAACAGACTTTGATACCGAACTACACATCACATTCTGCAAGAGTGAAAATTCATAAATGATTACAATAATCCAATATTCAATTTTCAATATCGTAAATAATCACTGTAAAACATTAGCAGAAAAATGTAATTAGTTAGTCATCACAAGAAAAGCGTGAAACTATTCACTATCAAAATTTCAATTACAATGAAAAGCCTAATCTTCATTCAAGTTTAAAACGTTGAGGGATAGTTGTTTGATAACGTCTAACAGTTATGTGATCACGTGAAGTGATTCTGAATAACATTAACTTGTTCATCTATGTATAATTGAACGTATTGGACGTTTGAAAAGGCTGTTTTTGCGTTTTGTGTCGTTCGCGGACACCTCATTAATGTACAGAGGCAATATTTTGCTAATAGTTTCAACGCATCTACGCATTCTGACTATTTAATTCATAGTATTATTTCAGTTAATAAGAATCGTAATAACTATCTCAATCCATTTTGTATACGAGTGAGTCTGATCTCACATTTTGGCATATTTTATACAGAACAAGTTGAATTTATATTGTGCTTTACTTGGACAGTGATTCTGTGCGATACAGTGGGCCATTACATTAAATGTGAACTGATATAATTTTCTAATGGTCACTCTAATGAGTGAGTGAGTGAGTGAGTGAGTGAGTGAGTGAGTGAGTGAGTGAGTGAGTGAGTGAGTGAGTGAGTGAGTGAGTGAGTGAGTGAGTGAGTGAGTGAGTGAGTGAGTGAGTGAGTGAGTGAGTGAGTGAGTGAGTGAGTGAGTGAGTGAGTGAGTGAGTGAGTGAGTGAGTGAGTGAGTATACATTTTGACAATATTCAAGACACATCACGGCGGCAGACACCTGAAAAGATCTTGACACATGTATCAGTCGCGCTTTGTTCAGGTCGGATTCTACAGTTGACCATTTGTACCACTGTGATTTCTCTGTATAGAAATGTAGGACTGACTGACTGAGTATGGTTTTACGCCGTTTTAGCAATATTCCAGCAATATCACGGCGGGGGACACCAGAAATGGGCTTCACAAATTGTACCCATGTGGGGAATCGAACCCGGGCCTTCGGCGTGACGAGCCAACGCTTTAACCACTAGGCTACCCCACCGCCCAGAAATGTAGGAAGGACATCCACCGAGGATCTGAAGACTTCAGTGATAGATCGACGGGTGTGTGGCTACCATTATCCATCACGTAACAGGATATTATTTTTTAGTTTGATAGCGAATAATGATGATGACGACGACGATGACTGAGGAAAAGATGACGACGACGATGATGGTGAGGATGACGATGACGACGACGAGGATGATGATGATGACGACGACGATGATGAAGATGATGACGAGGAGGAGGATGAGGATGACGAAGATGATAAGGATGACGACGACGGGGACGACGATGATGATGAAGAAGGTGATGACAACGATGTCGAAGATAACGACGACAATGATGATGAGGAAGATGACGACGACGAGGATGAAGATGACGACGACGAAGATGATAAGGATGACGAGGACGACGACGGTGATGATGAAGAAGTTGATGATGACGTTGATGAAAAAGATGACGACGAGAATGATGATGAGGCAGATGACGACGAGGAGGAGGATGAAGATGACGACGACGAAGATGATAAGGATGACGACGATGACAATGATCCTGATGAAGATGACGACGAGGAGGAGGAAGATGACAACGACGACCATAATGATTCAGTTATCATTTTCAGATCCTTTACACCCATCCAACTCGCTGCGACCAACGATGGTACGGACACCACCTGATTTGTGACTGGCGCGTTGTGCAGAGGATCGCGTGCCCAATGTCAACAACAGATCGTTTAATACAACGACACACAACGGTAGATTTTCCCAGTGTATGTTTCAATACTGTGTGGCTAAACACCGTGTTATAAATCGGAATATACCGATAAAACTCCTTCCACTTCGTGCTTTCCACTTTTGAAGAGCTGCTGCTGTTGCTAGTTTATGGGGCTAACGCCATGAAAAGAGTATTGGCTGTAGAGTGGCCATAATTCTCATAGCCCTTTCATCTCTTTCTCATAAAAATATAATCAGTAACAATAACACTTCTATTGCCTGGTTTATATGGGTGGAGCAAGACAAACTGTTTCTGCCCTCGTCGTGCCCTTGCTGTTGTCCAGAAGGGGTTAAAGAAAAGGTCAAAAGGTTGTCTTTGATTGGTAACGCTCTTCTTTCTCTAAAAGGGCGGTGGGGTAGCCAAGTGGTTAAAGCGTTCGCTCGTCACGCCGAAGACTCGGGTTCGATTCCCACATTGGTACAATGTGTGTCCCCCGCCGTGATATTGCTGGAAAAGCGGCGTAAATCTAAACTCACTCTTCTCTAAAAGTTTCTAAATGCCAGAGAATAACTAGTCATGGTAAACTCGCCGAAACGGATTCCATTTTGCGTAAAAGAAAATTGTTTGAATAGATTACCGAAAAGCATTCTTGACACAGGTGCTCGCGAATAGGGTAAGCGTGTTCTGCTTTAAATCGAGATCATAATTCAATATAGGACAAGAAACATTTTTCAGTCAAGAATTTTCCCTGAATGGTATCAAACATCCATAATTTGAAATTTGACCTTCAACTAATTCTGTTTGGTCTGAAGAAAAACATATATACTGATGATGTGTTTGACCTACTGTTGCTTTTAGCTAAATTCTTATCTATAAATGTAAAGTTTTGAAAACAACCCTAAATTTTCATCACTTTAAACACTATACCCACAACAGGTATATAATTGAAAGAAATATTGTTTACAGCAAATGGGTACAATGAGTGAAGCCCATTTCTGGTGTCCCCCGCCGTGATATTGCTGGAATATTGCTAAAAGCGGCGTAAAACCATACTCAGTCAGTCAGTCAGTTTACAGCAAAAGCAAACAAGGTGAGTTCTATACAAAGTGCAGTTGTACCAGGAACTAGCTAATGTCGATTTCAGAAGTTCATGTATCTTGATCTAATGAGTGCAACTGTTCTTGACTTCTTAAATGTATGTTTTGTGGTGCCTATGTTAAACCCCCTTATGGTTTAGTGAAGAATATGAGTGAATCTGAGTGTGAGTGAGTGAGTGTATATGTCAGTGTTAATTTTTTTTAAATATCTGAGTCCATAACATCATACCTTAATATGAACCTCGGTAACAGAACTTATTTACATCACAATTGCCTTTTCAACTCTGGTATAGTCTTGCTTGTTTCTTTTAGAGATGTCTATCTCTTCCTATATGATCCGGACCAAGCACTGCCATTGGACTCAGAAATGAAATATTAATTACAACATTAAACAATCTTATGAAATATATTCTATTTGAAGTTTAGTCCTTCTTTGGTATTATTTGATCATGATTTCGTTGTTTCCTATCCTGATCAACGTATGTAGACAAATAACTGGTCTGTTTCCAGATGTCGCATTGATATAATATCTGACAACAATGTATTTCCTAATGTCATTTCACAAAGTGCGCCCGGAAAAGACGTGAAGGAAATTTTCACCAGGAGCAACACGTTAACAGGAAGTTGTGCCAGATAAGTCAACTTGAATATGTCGGCACTTTAAAGGCTTGTGTGTAACTTAAAGTAATATGAAATTGCGTGTTTGTTGTTTAACACAACACCAAGTTATCTACTTCCAGATATATGACGACGGTTTGTAAATAATTAATCCAGTGATCAACAGAATGAGCATCGATTAAAGCAAATGGGAAACGATGACATGTGTCAACCAAGCCAGGGAACCTGACCACCCGTTCCCGTTAGTCACCACTAAGAACAAACATAGGTTCTTCACTGGTTTGAAAATGTTTGTTGGTCTCTTCTTGCTATACATATATATATATAACACAAAATTTATATGACGTTATTAAGGAACCCTTATTTAGGTCTAGTATTATTATCATAGGTATATATGTTACCAAGTGTTCCAAACAAGCGAGTCTATCGAAAAATGAACTACATGTATGTTATTTTCTGACCAATATCCAAACTTCCATTGTATTCAATTAAATTCCTGTCTGGATGGGTAGACACATGTCATCGTATCCCAACTGCGTAGATCGATGCGCATTCTGTTGATCACTGGATTGTCTGGTCCAGACTTCATTATTTACAGACCGCCGCTGGAATATTATGTCATCGACGGATGTTTTTGTTTTGTTTGTTGTTTAACGCCACACTCAGCAATATTTCATGTTGTATGCGCTGAGAGCATGTCCCTGCGTCGTGCAGTTCAGCGCTATATAAGTGGACAATATATATAATTATCATTATTATCATCGTGACATTTTCGCTGCTTTCGGAATATTTCGTATGAAAGTGGAAACAGCTTTATTGAGTCAACTAAATGCAAAACTCATCATCCCCTTAGACCACGAGTGAGTGACTGAGTGAGTATTACGCAATATTCTAGCAATATCACAGCGGGGGATACCAGAAATGGGCTTCACACATTGTACCCATGTGGGGAATCGAACCCGGGTCTTCAGTGTGACGACCCCACCGCCTCCTTAGACCACGAAAGCAGAACACCCTACTTCCGGATCCATAGTAGTGATAGAATATACTACTTGATTATTTTTAATCCCATACGGCGTATCTGCTGTCATATCGTGTACAGTTACTTTCTAAATGTATTTCTGTAGAAACTACCTATCGATAGATACCATTTGGCAAACGCCAGCACGCCGTGTGGAGTTGTTCAACCGTCTTCGACAGATTACTGGTAGTACCTGGTCGTCGTGGATACTGATTGTACCCTTAAAAGCAAGCAAAGTGTTACTCATATATACTACATGAGTGTACTTAGTCTGTGGCACTTAAAACCGCTTTTATGACTTGTTTTCACTCACTCATTCACTCTGAAGCTCATGTCTTACGTCAGTTCGCATAACTGACATAACTGCATTGATAATTAATGCACCCGAGTCGGCCAGGTAAATGTCACCACAGTGCATGAATAGATAAATCTATCTCACAGTCCCTGTACCATATTTTCCCCTTCAGCCAGAATGTACTATAACGCTAAGCCCTAAATGAACCAAGTGTTATTTTTCCAAAGGTTCAGAATCTCCTATCTCACTGGGGTTCCTTTCAGTGTTAACATAGTCGTTCATTTCTAGTAAATTCACATTTTTCAGAGACCAAGCCTTAGCCTACTTGATATCTATTGCAATGGATTATTAACGAGTCTAGCTGAATGAGGTTGGCCTACTGACCGTTGAATGTAGCGTGTGTACAATGCACCCTTATGTTATTACAATTCTGTTCAAAACGAGCTTCATGTTTTACTAATCTGCCTACGTCTTCAGACCTACGATTTACCTCATCTTCATCAGCAATGTATTTTAATGACGAATGTGGCGTTTTATCTTTTGTACTAAAGTCCTGCTCTTTAATTTCAAACAAAGGCATAACTGTTAAAATACCGAAATCATACGTTAGATACACGTCCAGCATTGATATATTCTTAATGCTATGACATAAATAGTTTACTCAATGTGCGGTGTATGTGCATAGTTTCTCATCGTTCAGTAGAGAACGGCTGATATACTCTTATCTGTGTTTTAAAGTGTAGTACATAACGCGGGGCATGAATAAAATATCTGTCTGTCTGTCTGTTGTGAGACACTGGTGAGAGCTTTTCAGTTAAGGACGCGGAACAGAGGCCCAATCTGTCTTTCAGACCCTGAAACAATATCCCCAGTACAGCCCTTGCAGGTATAGAATATGTGGCTTTTTCAGAAAATGAATAAAGAAAATCTTTAGGCCCCTGTGAATTATTTACGTTGAAGAAAAAATTTGAATTTATTTTCTGTTAATTTTTTTCATTTCAGAGACTAGATGTTAGCCTACAAAAAAGCATACTACTTATGGATGGTTGTATCGATCACTACTTGGAAATAAACTGAAGTACAAAAAAAGTACACACCTGGTGTTTTGGGATTATTTGAAAAGTGTTGTGATTTTGACTGGCAACTTTGCAATTGGGCACGATATCTGTGGTATTCTGGCAACATATACTAAACCGCAAAAGAAACGCAACTTGAATTGCAAATGCCAATAAATGTTAATTTATGGAACATATAATTTTAACATTATGAATAAACAACAGACAAGTAAACGTTGAAGAAATGGGTAGTGGTCTCTGGTGAAAACAACACTAATGTTTATTGAAAAAGCACTTGTCACCACACCACCCCCAAACACAAAAAATGTCATCTCCATCAGTAGCAGGTGTGACCCCCATTGGCTGCAATACACGCAGTACAGCGTCGACTCATTGAGTCAACAAGTGTCTGCAAGAAGGCTTTGGGCATTTGATTCCATTCTCTGACCAATCTGGCTTCCAAATCCCTATGGTTTAGAGGTGGACCAGCTGCCTGTATCCATCTTCCTATTTCATCCCACACATGCTCGATCGGTGCCATATCCGGGGACAGAGAGGACCAGGCGGGTACAGCAATGTTGTTCCCTCTCAGAAAGTCCATAGAGACCCGTGCTGTTTGAGGACGAGCATTGTCCTGCTGGAAAACCTGGAGCTGAGGCTGGGCCAGGAACAGCGGTACAACGTGGTAATGAAGAATTTCGTTTGTGTAGACTACAGCAGTCACACGTTGACGAAACACGTGCAAAGGTTTCCCCGGTGGTAGCTGAAGCCACCCCACACCATGACGCAACTCCTCCCCAGCGGTCAGCCTCCAGGACGCAGCAGTTGGCGTAACGCTCATTACATCGTCTCCACACGCGGAATCGGCCATCGGCGT